GGCTCAAGGTAGGGCTGTATAGTGTACAGAGCGCTCGCGCTTCCCGGGGGCAACCATGAGGGGTTTCCTCCACCTGGCGGTGGTCATGGCTGCAAACTTCACTGCTCAGCCCGATGCCGACGACTCTTGGATAAAAATCCGTTTCTGGCCCGGAAGTTATGCCGAGCCGGAACCCACTCCCGAACCCATCGTTGAGGAAGACCGTGGCGTGGGATCGCGCCCGGTCATCGAGTTCCTCAGGGATTGGCTGGGAGGGTGGACTCTCCTCGAGTCGGAGCCCAACCCGGCTGGAGTGCCCTCGGGGGAGGGTCATTCCGAAAAGTCGGAGGATGCCAGCGATCACTGGTTTGTGACGTTCTGGCTGAACCTTCTTTTTAAAGTCGCGGACACCGGTTTTGTTTACTGCGCTTCTGTTGGCTACGCGGCCAAGTGGGCCTACTGGCTTGCGGTGGCGGTAGTGGGGGTCTTTTGCCTCCAGCTGGCCGTTTGGACAATTAGTTGGGTGGTCATACCCGTTCTTAGGCACACCCACGCCTTTTACCGGCACCTGACGGGGCAGGGCCCTTGGCACGAGGCAGTCCGGCTCCACGGGCTCTCTTCTTTTAGGCCGAAGTGGAAGGGCCCTGCCACCGGGACCCCTTGGACGGCACAGTATGTGCAACAGGAAGTTCGAGGAAGAGCGAGAATCGAGAACCCCTCGATTTGTTAGTGTCTGACGGGGTGGCAGTTGCGCGCCTCAGACACGGGGCCCTCAGGGGCCGAACCGACAGACATGGATACCTAGCCCGGTGCAACAGCGTACACTCCAGCAGCCATCGATACTGGCGTAACCAGATTGAAGTTGCGGAATGCGCTGTGCACCTCTGTTCCGCGGACCCTTGCACAGCACCGGACTGCGCGGAAGTCCATGTGGGCTTGAGCGCTGTGGCGCCCCGCTCCGAGGAGGTCGACCTTCAGAAGGTAGCGGGCAAGGGGGCCTTAGCCCGGTGCTGGACAGTCACCTCTTTCTGGGGCTGCCACACATGCGGGGCTTTCCGGCGCTGTGTCTCGTCCTGCTGCAAGAGCGGGAGGAGAGCTTGCCGCTTTGCCCTTTGCTGTTGCCTGCGGCGAGCTTCTCGCCCGGGCAATGGCAGTGCAGGTAGACGGGACCTTCACGACGATTCGGAGACTGAATCAGAAGGGGGAGAAGGGGACCGTATCTGTCAAGCAGACCAGGTCGCGCTGGGCGGACCTGAGGCAAAAGGGCCCCTTTCGTTGGGGCCATGTAAGGATTGCAGCTGCGGACCACCCATCCGCCTACTGCAACCGGACGAGCGCACGAGCTGCACAGAGGACTTGATGTGTAAAAACGATGGGTACTACTTCCGCGCATGCCAAAGGCACCGGGATATGTACGAAGCGTCCCGAGCCAAGAGAGCCTGCGCGGTAGAGGGCTGCAACAACGCCGCCAGAAGTGTGCTCAAAGGGGTGCGCCTGTGCAAGCTCCATTCGGCTAAGGAAGAGAGGGGGCCGAAACCTCAGGGCGAGGCTAAAGGCCCCCGCGCTGTCGGGGACGTTGTTAAGGAAGCAGACAAGGAGGAGGCCGCCTCACCGCCTGAGGCGCGTTCCGCGCCCGGCCCAACCCTGCTGCTACGGGGAACGAGCAAGAAGACTCCAAGGATTTGGCCGCCTACTTGCAGGCAAGGTTGAATGGAGAGTCTCACTCCGTCGCTCTTCAGCAAAGCGGGACGAAAGCTTGACCGCAGCGAGCCGACGCCTCACAGAAACGGCAAAGGCGGCTCTTCAGAGGTTGCCTCCAGACTACCCGGAGGAGGTAGCTCAGCTCATCCGGACAGTCGCCGGAGCTAGCCAGAAGGGAGAGACACCCGACCCTGTCCTCGAGTTAGGGAAGAGGAGCTTGGCGCGGACCGCGGCCGAGCCACCTCGCCCGGTCGAGGAGCACAAGCCCGAGTCCTCAGTTGTGCCGTTTACGGTCCCAGCCCCGGTTCGGCGTTGCTACCGCTGCTCCACCTCAGGTGAGCGCAGCGCTGCTCTTTCCACAAAGGGAGGCCAGCAGGGCGACGACCAGCGACAGCGCGTCAGCGGTGCCTCTGCCGGACGGCCTCGTGTCAGCACTGAGGCCCTCGCGGGCAGGTGCGTTCACGGAGCCAGAGACGCGCCCCACTGATGACACCGCAAGGGCATTGCAGACGATTGCAAAGACTCTCAGTGCCCGTGACGAGTCGTCCTCCCACGATAAGGGGAAATTAGCAAGCATCGGCCGCCCCGGAAGAAAGACTCGTGTTCATCGTTAGGGGATGTGATTCCCTAACCGTGCCTGTGTGTGCTTGCACCACAGGAAAGGAGTTGTTCCACTCGTTGAAGACTGCCGGGGCCCAGGGAAGGCCACAGATGCGGGCGCTGCAATTTCCGGTGAACGTTACCAACAGGGTCGCATATGGGCTGGCCTCTCTTTCCATCGGGGGTCGGGAAGTCAAGTCTCTGCCGGAGTACGCCCTCTCCGTCGCCGACTTCCCTTTGACCTCGGAGGAAGACTTCGACAACTTCGTCCCACCGCCTGACAGCCGTCTGGAAAAGCGTCCACGCCACCCGACGACACTGACAGCCTGGTTTCGGGCCGCTCTTAGGATGGCCTGGGCAGTCGCCTGTGTCTATGGCACCGAGCACTACGCGCTCTTCGAAGCTGCAGCCACCAAGCTTCTGCACCTGTGTTAGAATTTGTAGATGGGAATGTGTA